CCCCCCCCCACAGGCTGTTTGCAGAGCCTCAGGCCTTATCAGGCCTCTTGTGAGTGTTTGGCTGCAAGTCTCCTCTGCCACTTGGGTTTTGGTTGATGATTTAGGGAACTCGATCTCCCTTGTTCAGAACTGTAGATGGATTGAATATTCCCTGGAACTCTTTCTAGATTCTGAATGAGAAATTCTGTTTAAACTGAGCAAAGTGAAGTTAGTCCTGAGTCATAGTCCCATTGCTTGGTTGGAAAACGTGTTCTATAGCACTGCTGTCCCTAGCAGTCACTCCTCAGCATTGGGCCGAGATGAGCATGCTTGTTGCCCACTGAGGCCAGTTAGGTGCTTTGACATTTCACTGTTGGGAAGGGTGGCCTGAGGTCCTTCTGTTCTGCCCATGTGTTCTTCCCTGCATCTGTCCTGGCAGGCTAGCTGGTTGTCGTGTGGCTGTCTTCCCTCAGAGGAATGGTCTCTGTTATCCTTTCCTCAGTCTGTGGTTAGCTACAGTAACCCGCGGTCTGTCACTTACCTTCTTTCTGCACCAAAGCCCGAGGCTAGGCACTGGGGGGTTGAGGGCAGAGACCCTCCTGGGACACGCTGTACACATGAGGCAGGGCGGCGCGGAGGTGGTTAGGAGCCTAGTGGCCACCGCAGGGGTTGAGCCCAGGGCCTTCTCACCTGCTTATTAAAGCTGGCCCTAGCCCAGCTGAGGCCGGTGAGTGGCTCTGAGCACATTTAGTGTGCTGGCTAACTAAGAGGTATTAAGTACACTCGGAACATCACACCTTTCAAACTGGTGATGTGCTTATCAATATGTAACCTCATCTTGTTTTTTTGTCGGTCGTGGGGCTTGAACTGTGGTCCTGGGCGCTGTCCTTGCGCTCTTCAGCTCAAGGCTAATACTCTACCACTTGAGCCATGTGGTGCTGAGGAATCAAACCCAGGGCCTCATGCATGCAAGGCAAGCACTCTACCACCAAGCCACCTTCCCAGCCCTGTTAAATCTCATTTTAATTTTCAACAATTATTTTTTTGTTGTTATTGTTGTCGGTCATAGGTCTTGAACTCTGGGCCTGAACGCTGTCCCTCAGCTCTTCAGCTCAAGGCTAGCACTCTACCACTTGAGCCACTGCGCCACTTCTGGTTTTCTGAGTGGTTAATTGAAGATAAGAGTCTCATGGACTTTAGTGCCTGGGCTGGCTTTGAACTGCGATCCTCAGATCTCAGCCTCCTGAGTAGCTAGGATTACAGGTGTGAGCCACCAGCGCCTGGCTCAACAATGCTTTACCACAGGCACTCCTGGGGCTATGTCACTACCAAAATAAATTAATGGTATCATTTGTTTTTTCGTTTTTTCCATCAGATAGACATTTAGGTTTAATCTCTTAGGTTGGCCTTTTACATCATCCTTTATTTTTGTCCTTTTTATTCCTCCTTCTTTTTCTCCTGGTACTGGGCTTCTACTCCAGGCCCTAGGACTCATGTGGCTTTTTTGCTTACAGCTGGTGCTTTACCACTTGAGTCCCTTCTATCACTTCTTATTAAAACCCATGTGAGATACAGATAGTTGACTTGCATTCTTTGTGAACCAAGAGCCACGCCAGGCCTGTGCGCTTGGGAAGGTGTCAGTGGCTGTGTCTACCTTGCTTCCTAAGCAGGTGGACTACTTTGTGTCAGAGTCAGACTTGGGCCTCATGGTAACTGGCACTGGGTCCTTTCCCATAGCTCTCAGCCCCATACCACCAAGCTACCTTCTGGTTTCTAGAATGTCTGATGGCATAGTTGTGGAGGCCATGGGCTGTGGGAGGTTATGTTGTGAGCTACACATATTTCTAAGGATGTCGCTGTGCTGCAGGGTGAGTGGAGCTAGAACTTTTGACTCTGTGTTTACAGGCTGTGGCCCACTGAGCTTAGATCCAAGACTGCAGCAGAAGCAGGCAGGTCTGGGAGGACAGGTCTTGGTAGAAGAGGACCTGTGTTTGCCTTCCTGCTATAGGAGGAGAATAGCCCTCTCCCAGGGTTTGTGGGTCTCCTTTCCTACCTACATCTTCCAAAGGAGGTTTTCCCTGAAGGCAATTCATGCCCACTTGTCTGCCACAGAGCTGGGGCACTCACCACCTTTGTTATTCGAGGGTCTGCTACTCCAGTGGCCTGGTGATGATGTAGACCAGGCACCTCCAGCTTCCTGCCAGCCAGTACTCTCCCCTTCCCATGGGCAGAGTGCCTTACCCCAGTGGCCTGGGGTAGCTGCCCGATGGACAGCATGTTCCCATTAAAGCTTGTTTGCACAGGGGTGGGTACAGCCCATACCCCACCTCACGAGAGCACGGCCCTGGCCGGTGCTCTGCTGAGCAGTCACCACATCCCAGTGGGCAGCAGGGTGTCTCCGTTTGGGTCTCATCTGGGCTGCTGTGTCATCTCTACAGGAAGATCATGGACTCTGGAGAGTTGGACTTCTACCAGCACGACAAAGTGTGCTCCAATACCTGCCGCAGCACCAAGATCGACCTCTCTGGGGCCCGCGTGTCCCTGAGCAGCCCCACGTCCGCCGAGTACATCCCACTCACACCAGCAGCGGCGGATGGTAGGTGCGGGGCTCAGCACAGCTGTCCTGACCTATCGCCCTCTGGCTGCTGTGTGTGCATCTTAGCTGTCCCCATCTTGGGGGCTCTTCCTTCTCCTGTCTGGGGAATTGTTGGGCTTATTGACAGAGGTGAATGTACTCTTTTCAGACACTTCATTATTAACTTGTAATCCGTATGCAGAGAGGGTACTGAGGGCAGTAAAGGCGCTGCCTGTGCCGGAGGCTCCTCCTGTCCAAGGCCTGTCCTGAGGTATGGCGGCTCCTCTCCACAGGCCGTTTGCAGAGCCTCAGGCCTGTCCTGAGGTATGGCGTCCCCCCCCACAGCCCGTTTGCAGAGCCTCAGGCCTGTCCTGAGGTATGGCGTCCCCCCCCCCACAGGCTGTTTGCAGAGCCTCAGGCCTGTCCTGAGGTATGGCGTCCCCCCCCCACAGGCTGTTTGCAGAGCCTCAGGCCTGTCCTGAGGTATGGCGTCCCCCCCCCACAGGCTGTTTGCAGAGCCTCAGGCCTTATCAGGCCTCTTGTGAGTGTTTGGCTGCAAGTCTCCTCTGCCACTTGGGTTTTGGTTGATGATTTAGGGAACTCGATCTCCCTTGTTCAGAACTGTAGATGGATTGAATATTCCCTGGAACTCTTTCTAGATTCTGAATGAGAAATTCTGTTTAAACTGAGCAAAGTGAAGTTAGTCCTGAGTCATAGTCCCATTGCTTGGTTGGAAAACGTGTTCTATAGCACTGCTGTCCCTAGCAGTCACTCCTCAGCATTGGGCCGAGATGAGCATGCTTGTTGCCCACTGAGGCCAGTTAGGTGCTTTGACATTTCACTGTTGGGAAGGGTGGCCTGAGGTCCTTCTGTTCTGCCCATGTGTTCTTCCCTGCATCTGTCCTGGCAGGCTAGCTGGTTGTCGTGTGGCTGTCTTCCCTCAGAGGAATGGTCTCTGTTATCCTTTCCTCAGTCTGTGGTTAGCTACAGTAACCCGCGGTCTGTCACTTACCTTCTTTCTGCACCAAAGCCCGAGGCTAGGCACTGGGGGGTTGAGGGCAGAGACCCTCCTGGGACACGCTGTACACATGAGGCAGGGCGGCGCGGAGGTGGTTAGGAGCCTAGTGGCCACCGCAGGGGTTGAGCCCAGGGCCTTCTCACCTGCTTATTAAAGCTGGCCCTAGCCCAGCTGAGGCCGGTGAGTGGCTCTGAGCACATTTAGTGTGCTGGCTAACTAAGAGGTATTAAGTACACTCGGAACATCACACCTTTCAAACTGGTGATGTGCTTATCAATATGTAACCTCATCTTGTTTTTTTGTCGGTCGTGGGGCTTGAACTGTGGTCCTGGGCGCTGTCCTTGCGCTCTTCAGCTCAAGGCAAGTGCTCTACTGCTTGAGCCATAGTGCCACTTCTGGTTTTCTAGTGGTTTATTGGAGATAAGAGTCTCACAGACTTTCCTGCCCAGGCTGGCTTTGAACTGCAATGCTCAGGTCTCAGCCTCCTGAGTAGCTAGGATGACAGGTGTGAGCCACCAGCGCCCGGCTTGTAACCTCATCTTTACTGGAGGAACATCTGTTCACTTATTTCTTCAAGCCTTAGTGGTCAGCCAGAATGTCAACCTAATGGGATTGTTTTGTGGGGCACATACACAATTTGGATAGAATTACTACATAATGATCAATAAATAGTGGTATCTTGACAAAAAAGGCTGGCTATGTATGACTGGCTGGTACAAATTGTACCACAGATACCAGCTCCTGAGGAGTGGCATCTGAGCCTCTAAGACTGAAGCACTAGGAAAGGCAGCCAGGATTAAGAATTAGCTCTTCTTGGGGCTGGGAAGGTGGCTCAGTGGTAGAGCACTTGCCTTGCATGCATGAGGCCCTGGATTTGATTCCTCAGCACATAAGCAGAAAAGGCTGGAGGTGGCGCCATGGCTCAAGTGGTAGAGTGCTAGCCTTGAGCTGAAGAGCTCAGGGACAGTGCCTGGGTCCAGAGTTCAGGCCCCACGACCGACAAAAAAAAAAAAAAAAGGAATTAGCTCTTCTGAGCTCTGATGGCTCACACTTGTAATCCTAGCTACTCAGGAGGCTAAGATCTGAGGATCACGGTTCAAAGCCAGCCCGGGCAGTCCGTGAGACTTACTTCCAATTAACCATGAAAAAACTGGAAATGGAGCTGTGGCCTGAGCCAAAAGCACTCAGGGACAGTGCCTAGTCCTTGAGTTCAAGGCTTATGACTGACTTAAAAAAAATAAAAAGATTTAGCTCTTCTGATGGTTTAGTCTCTAACTTGGAACCTCTCAGATCCTCTAATTTGGTTTTTATATGGCTAGTAAGTTTCAGACAGGCTCAATCTATGAAACACATGCATGTATGTCCAAGTTGATTCTGGATATGATATTCACAAGCATGATATCTTTTTGTTGTTGTTGATCCTGGAGTTTAAACTCAGGGCCTGGGTGCTGTCTCTGAGCTCTTTTTGTTCAAGGCTAGCACTCTATCACTTTGAGCCACAGCTCTATTTCCAGTTTTCTGGAAGATAAGAGTCTAATATACTTTCCTGCCCTGGCTGGTTTTGAACCAGGATCCTTAGATCTCAGCATCCTGAGTAGCTAGGATTGCAGGGGCAAGCTGCCAGTGCCCAGCCAACAGTGCATCTTTGATTCAAGTGGAAAAGGCCAGTATAGGGTTGGAAAGCTGGAGCCTGGGAAGGTGGCTCAGTGGTAGAGCGCTTGCCTGGCATGCATGAGGCTCTGGGTTCGATTCCTCAGCACCACATAAGCAGAAAAAGCCAGAAGTGGTGCTGTGGCTCAAGTGGTAGAGTGCTGTCTTGAGCACAAAGAAGCTCAAAGACAGTGCCCAGGCCCTGAGTTCAAGCTCCAGGACTGGCTTAATAAATAAATCAACACACATCTGCCTATTTTCTTTTTTTTTCTTTTTTTTTATTGTGAAAATACTGTACAGAGGGGTTACCATTACATGGGCAAGATAATGAGTACATTTCTTGTCAAGCATTGCAGCCTCCTCCTCTGTTTCCCCTTCCCATCCCACCCTCCCCCTCCCCACCCCCGACACCTGCCTGTTTTCTGAGCCAGGTTGGCACATGAAGCCTCTGTCAGAAACTCAGAACTGCTAAGTGCAAATTGTATGGACAGTTGGGTTTGTAAGCACTGGAAATGAAGTCAGGGATAAGTCAGAATGGATGATTCATTAAACTAGAAATGTAGAAATGTGACAGGCTCTAGCATTATGGTGTCATCAATGAGACACATGGCAACCTGGTCCTCCAGGCTGAGAGCCTGCTGGTGGTCAGCACGGAGGCTTGTAGTGTCAAGTTGCAGACGGTACAGTAAAACATTCCCAGTTGCCAGAACTGGGAAGAGATCTATGATTAAAAATAAACTCCCTGTGAGATAGGAAGTCCTGTGGACACCCTAGTCTGGTTATGTTTGTCAGTTCTGTGAAAATGGGCGGCAGAGGGGTTTAGGTGTAGCCTTGAGGAGATGGGCCTGGGAGGCCGTGGGAACGCCAGGAATGTACACCGTCTGTGCTCTGCTCTTCCTCAGTGAATGGCTCCCCTGCCACAATCACCATCGAGACTTGTGAGGACCCCGGTGACTGGACCACAGCCATTGGAGGTATGGGGTCTGGGGGCTCCTCGGGAGCATGGTGGGCTCATGGGGGAACCGCTTGCCTCTACGGTATCCCACACAGGGTTCCAGCCTCAGGGCATCCTAGGTGCTCCAGTCTCTGCGAGGTGCCTGAGGCAGAGCTCGGCCATGGTCCGCTGGATTTACAGACTCTTGTGGCTTCTCTTTCCTGCTGTGGGCACCTCGTGCATCAACATGCCTTGTGCTCCTGGCCTCTTCCCTCTCTCACAGATGACACATTTGCCTTCTGGCGGGGGCTGAAGGACGCTGGCTTGCTGGACGAGGTTATACAGGAATTCCAGCAGGAGCTGGAAGAGACCATGAAAGGCCTGCAGCAGCGGGTGCAGGACCCCCCGCTGCAGCTCCGAGGTGAGGAGGTCTGAGGGTTCCTATTGCCAGCTGCCTCCAGGTCCTGCTGTGCAGCTGAGATGCACGGAGGAGAGCTGGCATTTGGTGTGCATCATGCTAGGTCTCTTCGGAGCTGACCGCTGGCTAGATTGCAGGGGGGCCAGCCCAGCTCTGGGTTCCAGGCTCTCAGGTTTTTGCTGTGTTCACACCGCTCCTTTAAGATGCTGTCCTTCTCAACAACATCGTGCAGAACTTTGGCATGCTGGACCTGGTGAAGAAGGTGCTGGCCAGCCACAAGTGCCAGATGGATCGCTCACGGGAGCAGTATGCCCGGGACTTGGCAGGTATGTCCTGTGGCATGCCGGGAGTCCGGGGAGGCCTCACACCTCTAGTCCTGTGTCCCCCACTTTCCTAAGACACAGCCACGGCGGTGGGCTTTTCCCTGTGGCCTGGGTGATGGAAAGGTCACAGGTGTCACGCAGAAAAAAGTAAAATTTCAGTGGCTATGCAGACTGCACCAATGCTGGTCAGGGCCCACCTCGGCATTCACTAGCCTCTCTGTGTGAACCAAGTTGTTCATACTTAAGAGAGAAAGCAGAGAGATGAAAAGACCACGGTTGCAGGGAGAGCTGATTGACTCTGTGCTGTCTGTGCATTTGTTCCAAGTTGTTCCTGAAGTTGCTACTCATGTGCAGGTACTGCATATATGTAGGAACAGCCACCTTACTTGGCTGCTTTGGCCTGAAGAGTAGCTTTCCATGTGACACAGCCTGGGACACACTGGCATCAAGGGAAGTCTGGCCCACAGCACTTCCACATGGGAACTGTGGGCCTGAGTCAGCCCAAGAGCCATCAAGAGGCCCACTGCAGCAACCTTCCTATGGCGTGGGGTCCTGTGGTCATCTGGGTTGCTGTTAGTTTGTGATCTACTTGCTGATGTGTTGTGTGTCCCCACGGCCCTGTGCGGATGCCGTCCACCCTCTCCCCGTGCCCCACGGCCCTGTGCGGATGCTGTCCACCCTCTCCCCGTGCCCCACGGCCCTGTGCGGATGCCGTCCACCCTCTCCCCGTGCCCCACGGCCCTGTGCAGATGCCGTCCACCCTCTCCCCGTGCCCCATGGCCCTGTGTGTACCCACGGCCCTGTGCGGATGCCGTCCACCCTCTCCCCGTGCCCCACGGTCCTGTGCGGATGCCGTCCACCCTCTCCCCGTGCCCCACGGCCCTGTGCGGATGCCGTCCACCCTCTCCCCGTGCCCCACGGCCCCACGCCCTGTGCGGATGCCGTCCACCCTCTCCCCGTGCCCCACGGCCCTGTGTGTCCCCACGGCCCTGTGCGGATGCTGTCCACCCTCTCCCCATGCCCCACGGCCCTGTGCGGATGCTGTCCACCCTCTCCCCGTGCCCCACGGCCCTGTGCGGATGCCGTCCACCCTCTCCCCGTGCCCCACGGCCCTGTGCGGATGCCGTCCACCCTCTCCTCGTGCCCCACGGCCCTGTGTGTCCCCACAGCCCTGGAGCAGCAGTGTGATGAACACCGCCGCCGTGCCAAAGAGCTGAAGCACAAGTCCCAGCACCTCAGCAATGTGCTCATGACGCTGACGCCGGTCTCCCTGCCATCCCCTATGAAGCGGCCCCGTCTTGCGCGGGCCACATCGGGACCAGCTGCCATGGCTTCACAGGTGCTTACACAGTCTGCACAGATCGCCCTTGCCCCAGGCATGCCCATGTCTCAGCTGACCAGTGTGCCGCTAGGCAAGGTGGTCTCCACGCTGCCCTCCACGCTGCCCTCCACGGTCCTGGGCAAAGGCTCCCCGCAGGCTCCCCCAGCCACTTCACCGGCCTCCCCACTGCTTGGGGGCTACACAGTCCTGGCCTCCTCAGGCTCCACCTTCCCCAGCACGGTAGAGATCCACCCAGACACGTCCAGCCTCACGGTGCTGAGCACAGCAGCCATGCAGGACGGGAGCACGGTGCTGAAGGTGGTCAGCCCGCTGCAGCTACTCACCCTGCCTGGCCTGGGCCCCACCCTGCAGAGTGTGGCCCAGGCAGCGCCGGCAGGCAGCACGATCGTGACCGTGCCCACGGCGGCCGCCCCGGGGCCTGAGGAGCACACGGCCACCATCGAGGTGGCTGCTGTGGCAGGGGACCATGAGCAGAAGTAGCTGGCGGGGAGGGTGAGCCCCTAGGGTGTGGACCGGCTGGCTCTCCTCAGACCACTGCGGGCAGAGGCTGCGGGGCTGGCTCAGCACAGGCAGGTCTCAGGGGCTGAACCAAAGAGAGGAATTGCCAGATGAATCAAGAGAAGAAGAAAAAAGGGACAGAATGATGCCAGCAACCTGGAAAATCAGTCTTCAAGTTCAAAACTTACTCCCCTTTTTTCTTGGGAAATATACTTTTCCATCTGTTGCTTATTATCCTGTTTACACATTGGGCCTTGAACAGGAGGTGGGGGGCAAGGACCAAGAGGAGGCCTGGGTGCGCCCCATGACGCGGCAGACCTGTGGCGGCGGCCTGAGTCACTGGTGGCGCCAAGGCCCAGCTGAGCCCTGGTGCGCCCCGAGCAGGCCTTCTGGGCACATTACTGACACATGTCTTGGGGACTGAACCCAAGTGTGGTAACCCATGGATCCTATGGATTTGGTTTCTTCCCACAGTTTTCTGTAGGTTTAGTGTAGCCAGTGCCCGCTCTCCTGCTGGTGTGGGACACGCCCCCAGGGCTGGGGTGCAGACCCCAGGTGGGGCCCCTCTCCTCTCCCTACAGGTGCTCAGGTGTGGTCTGGGCGCCTTTGCACATGGGTTGCAGGTGTTTCTAAGTGAATTCCTTAGTAGGCTTCTAGGAAGAATCAAATTTATAGCATTTTCAACCAAAATAATGCTGAGTGCCTAGGCTCCTGAGTTGGCCCTGGGAGGGGCCGGGGCTGTGTATGCGCTGCTCAGTGCCGGGGTCCTGGACAGATCCCTTCCCAAGACCAAGCTTTGTGGAGGGTTTCTGTGGGTGTGCCTTCAGACTTGGGGTGGCTCAGAAGGCTCTGGTGTACAGCCTTCTGTTGGAGCCTCCATAATAGCCCTCATCTCCCTGAGTTTCCCTGGAGGTGGAACCGAGACCCCCCAGCTGACAGTGTTCCCCATCCCCAGAGACAGCACCAGGGCCTACAGGGAGGCTGCCCAGACCCTGTTCAGGACAAGGTAGGAGAGGTGGGACCCGGGATGCTGAAGGGGGGGTATGTGGGAGGTGAGGGGGGCTGTGCTCCAGGCCATAGCCCCTGGAGGCAGGTGTTCAGAAAGAATGGAGCCCTGGCTACTGTAGGGCACCTTAGACTGAGCCTCAGGAGCTGTCTGCAGAATTGCTGCTGGCTCTGTTGACGGGAGCTCTTCCTTTCTGGGGCCTTGCAGCAGGAGAGGGCCTGCCATTCCGTCCACTGCTTTGAAGGGAACTGGCCACCCTTTTGTCCATCTCTCCATCCCTGTGACTGCCCAGGCCTCCCCTCCACACCTTTGCTGTGACCTGGGCCCCTACCGCCTCCCCACACCGTGTCAAGCTACTGAGGTTCAATCTCGTTTTCCTTCTGTTACATCCTTGTTCACTGTGGTCATGATCAGTTGGTTTTGGCTGATGTTTACCTGTTTGTGTACATACTCATTTTTTTTTTTTTGAGTTGCAAGCCCTGTTTTATGTGGCACTGTGACCCCATGGCCATCAAGAGTCTGCAGGGTTGGTGCTGCCTAGCAGGCTCTCCGGTCCCCACCCCACCAGCTCAGATTCGAGTAGATAGTGTCATCAGTAAAACACCTCCGGCCCTGGGAGCCAGGGGCTTGCAGGGCCTTTCCTTGGCCCATGTCCAAGGTGCTCTCTCTGTCTTTTGAGTTGTGGGTCAGTTTCCCTTTGTAAGAACAAGATTGGGACCTTTTCAGCCCTCACCCCTTAGTCCATGGAGGTACTGGAAGTTGAAGTTAATTTCAGAGCCATATTAAAAAAGAGCCCCAGCCAGCTTCGGGTTGATTCCCCGTTCCTCCACCCTCCTGTAGCCACCCACAGACATCTCTCCAGCCTCCTGGCAGGGAGGAGAGGAAGCCCAGCCCTGCGGGAGGAGGTGTGCTCAGCGCCTCACCACTTGCTGGTGCCTGCCTCCTGCAGACCCTGCGGGCGCCTCAGGGCCACTGCCCTCCCCACCCCCCCCCCGCCAGGCCTCTAGAGGAAAGAGCCCTCCTGTCACGCTCAGACATGGGTGTTCTTGGCTGCCTGGTGTGTGGGTTTTGCAGAGGGTACAGGCTTCTCCTTGGGCCTGTCAAGGGGCACTGGGAAAAGCAGTGTTTGAGTTCCACTTTGTGTGTTGTTTTTGCGAGCGTCTGCTTGGTACTTTAATTTGAAATAAAAACTTTTTTTTTCCTAATGTATGTGTCTGTTTGCAATGAGAAGCTGTGTGGAAGGCAACGATTTGAACTTTGAACGATGCCCCCAGTGGGTATTGCCAGCTTGTCCCGGGTGGGCCTGCATGCTGAGTCCTCTTCATGCCTCCAGTTGTGGTCTATGGCCCGTGACCCGAGCCTCCTAAGCTGCAGCAGCTGGTGTAATACCAGGTGCCAGTATGCAGCCAGGTTTCCTGAGCCTTACCTGGGCCCTGAGCACCTTCACTCTGCTGCTGCATCAGACTCCCACAGACTGTGAGGTCGGAGTCCAGGGTTCACTGTGACTGAGGGATGTTCTGAGTACTGAAGAAGAGCCTTGATCCAAAGCTGGGATCCCAAGGAGAGGCCATTCCTGTCAGACCGGTTCTGTACCCTTTCTGCTGACCTTGTCCGGGGCCCCATGGGTCTCAGGATTCCACTCTTGAGTTTGACACTCTCTGTGTACTTTGAAAGTCAGGGTGGAGGCAGCCTTGAAGTAGGTGTGTCTTCAGCTCTGAAGACCTGTCCTGATTGCCGCCCTTCCTTCCACACACACACACTGCTTACGTGGAGCTTGTGGATGTGTCCTGGACCTGTCCTGATTGCCGCCCTTCCTTCCACACACACACACTGCTTACGTGGAGCTTGTGGATGTGTCCTGGACCTTTCCTGTCAAGTTCACACTTGGGCAGCTTCATGTCTGCTGCCTCCCCGACCCGCAGAAGATCTGAGGCACCTCAGATTTCATGGGTCCAAAACAGAATTCCTGCTTTTCTCTCCTAAACCTGTCTTTGCAGGGAGGGGTGCCCACAAGCATCCAGGTGCTCAGGCCATCTTCCTGGAAGCTCACCTGGTCAAAGCCCTTCCATCTCTCTGGCCAGGAGGACCTCCCTGCCCTGGCCTCTGCCTCACACTCTGCATTGCCAGTTTGCCTATGTGATGGTCTCTCCTGGTCACTCAAGTGCCAATAGTGCCTGGGTCACTTCTGCTGTCCCTAAGAGGGCTGTACCTCACTGATAGTCAGACCTTGAGACACCGTCTTCCTGACATTTGGGGGTCCACGCGGGCTGTACCTCACTGATAGTTAGACCTTGAGATACCGTCTTCCTGACATTTGGGGGTCCACGCGGGCTGTACCTCACTGATAGACCTTGAGACACCGTCTTCCTGACATTTGGGGGTCCACGCGGGCTGCACCTCACTGATAGTTAGACCTTGAGACACCGTCTTCCTGACATTTGGGGGTCCACGCGGGCTGCACCTCACTGATAGTTAGACCTTAGATACCGTCTTCCTGACATTTGGGGGTCCACGCGGGCTGTACCTCACTGATAGTTAGACCTTGAGATACCATCTTCCTGACATTTGGGGGTCCACGCGGGCTGCACCTCACTGATAGTTAGACCTTGAGACACCATCTTCCTGACATTTGGGGGTCCACGCGGGCTGTAGATTATGAATCTGTGAGCTTAGAAGAACCACCTCTTGCCTCTAGGTATTTAGTAGATGTCCCTTAGGGCAGGCTCCAGCACTGGCTGTCCTGGGTGGACAGTGAAGAAGTGAGGGGCAGCCTGCCTGCTCGGACTCCTTGTACTGCAGAGTGCAGTGTACCAGGTGGTGCTCAGAAATAGTCTGCTGTCTGGGTAGACCTGTTTGTCTGTCTAGCTTTGGCTACTGTGAATAAAGCCATTATCAGCCACTGTGTTGTAGTGTTTGTGTGTTTTCTTTCTGCTTTTTTCTTAGCATATGTTAATTATGCAAAGGAGTTCCGTTGTAATATTCCCATATATACTCATAATGCACTTCAGTCAAATTCATCCCCCTTTATTTACTCAAAGGAAGTAGAAAACACATTAGTGTGCTTTGTTATTGTCACTTTTTCTTTTGAGTAAATGCTGGTATCATTGCTGGTTTATATGGTGAGGCTGCTGTCTTTGTAAGAGATTATTGAATTGTAAAGTGGTGCAGAGCAGCTGTTCTGATTTGCATCCCCACCAGCAACAAATGGGGAGTTCCTGTTGTTCCACATCCACACCAGCCTTTGGTACCCTCAGTACTCTGAAATGTAGCTATTGTAATAGGTGTACAATGGTATCTCATTGTTGCTTGTTTCATTCTGTGTTATTGAGACACAGGCTCTCCAGCTAGTGTCAAGCCTAGACTGGCCTTGAACTCAGCCTCTCTAGTGCTAAGATTACAGGTGTATACCACCATGCCTGTCTTTGTTACCAATTGTAATGAAATGTATAAGTCCATAACAATGTATGACTGATCTGGAGTAACTTCATATATGTTTAACATTGTGCACATCTCCTATTGGGAAATATCTGTGTCTTTTACCCATTTTTAATGTTTCATTTTCTTATTCAGTTTTCTTCTGATTGTGGTTTTTCTTTTCTTTTTCTTGGCAGTGCTGGAGCAAACACTCTACCATTGTGTTAAATCCCCAATCTGTCTTTTTGTTTTTGTTTTCTTACCAATACCGATTGGAGATCAGAGACTCATGGATGTTTTTGCCTGGGCAGGCTTTGAACCATGATTTTCAGATCTCAGCTTCCTGAATAGCTAGGATTACAGGAATGAGCCCCAAGTACCTGCTCATTGGCTGGTATCTTTTGAAGAGCAATTACAAAAAATATTTCTAGCTAGGCACCAGTGGCTCACGCCTGTAATCCTAGCTACTTAGGAGGCTGAGATCTGAGGATTGTGGTTCAAAGCCAGCCTCTGCAGGAAAGTCCATGAGACTCTTTTTTTTTTTTTTTGTCGGTCGTGGGGCTTGAACTCTGGGCCTGGGCGCTGTCCCTCAGCTCTTCAGCTCAAGGCGAGCGCTCTACCACTTGAGCCACAGCGCCACTTCCGGTTTTCTGGTGGTTTATTGGAGATAGGAGTCTCACGGTCTTTCCTGCCCGGGCTGGCTTTGAACCTCGATCCTCAGATCTCAGCCTCCTGAGTAGCTAGGATGACAGGCGTGAGCCACCTGCGCCTGGCTTCCATGAGACTCTTATCTCCAATAAACCAACAGAAA